GTATTCTTCGCCGTCATTAAACTCGTTGGTCAAAGCGCTGTTCTGTTATTATTCGACATCTTCGCTGCTTAATGTGTCCGACTCGGACATATGGTATAAGTGCCTCGCGCAGTGATACATCTTTTTCTATAAGTTTCAAAAACCTTCATTGGCGGCAGCTGCGGGCAGATGCTTCTGCATGCCATTTGATATCAGGAACATTCTTTTACAGTTTCTGCGCATTCATGTCCTGTTCAAATGACATAAAAAAAAAAAAAAAAAGGAAAAAAGAAAGAACCTCTATAGATAGGAGGAGAGGTTGAAGTGCTCCTTCTCTTAGTTATGAATAAGTTTGTAAGTTTAAGAGTTTAATGAAAAATGAACTGCAAATTATGTAACTTACATATGATGACGGAAGATGGCCCGTATCTATAATAGGTGCCATAACCAGCATTTCGTATGGCGTTTACTGCAGCTTTGCTAACTCTCATCTAAAAAACATTTCACGAATTTAGAGGAGTTCGAGATTCCGGAACCATGGTTAAAACTGTGTCCATAATATTTTGAAGGCAAAATGTTTAAAGAAAAGTATATCTAGTTAAAATGAATTTTTATTTCAGTACCAGTTCCTCGTGGTCTTTGGTTTTCCGTGCAGTATACCCCCACGGGGTCATCCATAACTGACTGTAAGCGTGAATGTCCATATAGCCCGCTATTTGGCCATTTTCGTTCAGTGCCTTTAAATAATCCGCTACATTTCTCACTTCTATTTCGGAAAATGCGTGTGTTCCTCTGAAGGATTCACTACATGGGTTTGAACTGGCTCCTGGATCTGCATAAAACATCGATAAGGTCAACTCTGGGTAACAGAAACCCGCCTTTTTACCCCCCCCCCCCCCCCTTTAGGCAGAAAATGCTTTTCAGCTTGTACATTCAAATGGAAATTGTGAAAGGTATCCAATCTCCCGGGAATATGCCACTTGTGCCTCAGGTGTTTTTTTTTTTAATGTTTTGTTAGAGAAAACCACAGGAGGGGGGGAGGGGAGGGAGGGGGGCGTTCACCTGGGCGAAACATTTGTGATATATGATTAGTTATTCCTAGAAAAATACTTAATTGCCTAGAAGTTAAATGAGTTCCCATCATGACTGGTCTTTCTTTATGTTCTGGGGGTGGGAGAGTGGGGGAAAATCAGAGGATTTTGGTTGTGTCATGATGAAATTTATCTGATCCTCCTGTAAGGATATGTAATGTTCTCCAAATCCCCCCTAATTGTAATTTTTCTATAACACCCCCTCCCCCTTAACTATCTATTGGCAACGACTGATCCCCCTCAGTTCCCCTTGAAAACCATGGGATCACCCAATGCAAAATCCTACTACCCCTTCCTTCACCCCCTCCCCCGTTAGGCGTTAAATAATGAGTAGTTCCTAAGGTATATGCGAATTAATGCAAAAGTACTCCTCCAAGACACTGGTACATACGTTTTGAGGGTCGCGAGCGCTGTACTTACATCCCCACATGTAATCCCAGTTTCTGTTTGGGTCAGTTCCAAAGCATCTGCTGCTCTTATTGGGTTTACGTGTCTTTCTCCAGTATCTGTTCCTACGGTTACTCTGTAAACCCAAGTTGGTTATTTAAGTTATAGGAAGAAATTACATTGATACCAGATATCACTGGAATATAAATTTTTCTTCAAAATTCGCCCAATGATCGAGTATCAAACAGGCCACTTCGAAAAATTCCACGACACTCTTTTCAAAGCAGTTTGGGGTTTTCGAGAAGGTACTCAATGTGAGCCTTATTTTCCCATCTCTATCGTTCACAGAATCTATCAAGCTGGTCTCAGGTCCTTCGTCCTGATTCCTTCGGTTAATGTTTTTCATGCTACAAAAAGCTATTTATCAGCATCCTCACAAGCGTCCTAAACTCCTATAGCATTGTGGTATTTTTCGATATGGCCAATCGGAAGTGTAAACCTCGAGTCAAAGCAACTCAATTGAAAGGAGAAATGAAGATCTGCAACAATTCATTGCACAGAGACTAGCAGTGTGGCAAACACCTCCAATCGAGGTTACAGCTTTGTTTTTATTTATCTCACCTTTGCCAAACTTTTTTTTAAGATCACTATCATTCTCATATGGCTGACTTAACTGATTGCAACACTTTACCAGTAGCATACCAGTATGCATATCAATTTTCCATGCTGTTCTCTATACATTCCCTAAAATGCTGACAACGAGAATTTGTCCGACAATAGGCCATTTCACAGTTGTGTACTTAGTTGCCAAGCCTTTGATTTGGAGTGAAGCTGAAGGTGACCTCATCGTGATAGAGACCTGGATCTAGTTAGCATGATAACAAAATGATTTACATTTGAAAGGCAGTAAGGTCTGCTTCATAACAAAGTCACCCCTGGCCACACTCCTGTTGAAAGGCTTTGCAACAAAGCACACAACTGTAAAATGGACTATTAAGAGCTTCCCTAGCTGGTGATCAGATTATTCTTAATTCTCGTGACCTTCCTGTTTGATTCAGGGCAAGGGCGTAGCCAGGAGGGGGGTCCTGGGGTACCCGTGTCCCCCCCCTTGGTAGGCCTTCTTTTGAGCAAACAACCTACAATATTCAGATGGTGAAAACGCCGTGACAATATCTTGGCCTGCCCACTATACTCTCACTGCTCATCCCAAAACTGTAACATTAAGTAAAACATGCACGGCGTGGAGGTCGACAGGACAATCTGGTGAGTAGCCTCTGTGAACATCCCCCCCCTTTGAAAAATCCTGGCTACACCCCCGAGGGGTAATATCGTACGGAGACATTGGATGCTTGTCCCTATTAAGGATCAAAGGATTAACGTAATGAGAAGAATGGTAAATTTTTAATCTCCATAAGAAAACATAGTTGAGATGAAGAAACATCGGTTGTTTGATAGTGAAAAATAGATAGATACGAACTGGATTCCAAGTGAAAACGTAACCATCAACATTTAGAACAGGCATGATAACGAAATCCATCTTGTCCAACATTTCGGTCACGCTACTGTCTCGGCCATATCTGGAGACGATCTGATAAAAACATGAATAGAAGCCCCAATTTAAAGGTCACACTAAGGTGTATCAAAGACCTTTCCCGGGAACGCTTTTTAAAAAGGATTTGGCTTGTTTACTGATCACCTAACCGGTAGGATCTGTCGTCGCCAACAGAGTATACAAGGGGGAGGGGAGGGAAGGGAAGGGGAGAGACCATAGGAAATTGACTGCCAGAGAGGGGGATCATACCTATTGTGACACAACAAAATACTCCGACGCCCCTACTCTACACAGCCTTTCAGGCGGTAAATAAAAACCGCTCCTTACAATGTTCTCTGATTCGGTGACAGAATTCACCACCCTCTGTTCACAAACGTGAACAAGCAACACTTCTCACATACGTTATACCGAAGCTGAGTTCTGGCGCCGTATAAGGGACGGTAAACATTTCCAGCCGTTCGCGAAATTCTAACTAAAATACGAATTCATTTTTTGAATCGACTTCTTCCTCGGCGCTGTTGTCCTGACTGCTTAAGAAGTCTCTAATTACTAAATGGGCACGTACTTGTTTGATGATGTACATACACGTCGCTGGAGACACCCATTCACGGGCGTGAATCCCACAGTTCATGAAAAAGATCTTCTTGCCTGGTCTACGTCTTCCCCTCAGCTGCAATAATCACGAAATATAGCACAAACAATGGTCAAGACTTAAGATGTAACCAGTAAAAAAAAAATAGCTTTTTATTACAGCTAATACCCATCAAAATTTAATGCATACGAATCAGATCTTGCGCGAGTTTAAGGTTCAGTTCCTTACCTACATCACCGGAATCAAATTTTGTCCATTTAATATTTGCATATGATATTTGTGCAACAGTGATTTTTTTTTTTTCGTCAGCGTAACACCACATGCTTAGCTAGAAAACATCAAAGCCTGAGCGTCAAGCGTTACATTGTAAGATCGTCATGATAAATCACATATTTGTGGCGTGCTGACACCTGGCAATCGTAAAATGTTGAAAAATCGCTAAGTCTAGGAAAAACTTAAGTTCGCCATTTTCTCGTACGATACCAGAATTTATGTTTATCTATTCGTTCTGGAATCAACGGCGAATCAGGACAAGTTTTGCTTGTTCTATAAAAAAATAGTTGTGTTGTTCATTTTCAAGAGCGGTTATCATTCATTCTCCTTTTAGCGCTATAAACGAATTTCTCACCTTAATTGCCTGCTGTTGGCGTCCTTCAAAAGATCTTCCCAAATTGAAAACGTTGGCCATTTCTGCATGTTGGTTAGCAAGGTTTCTCAGCTCCTCGTCAATCTATCCGTAGGCCGTAAAAGAAAGAAAACGATCATCAACAGCTTCGTTCTTTAAGTTTTAATTTAAAAAGCCTTTCATCGCCTTTTTTCAATCAACAAATACTCGTGTTACCTCATTCAAAGGATGATATCGGCTGTAAAAGCTAAAAGACATGCCACGCTTTTGCAATTCGTTTTCGTCGTCCATCAATTTGTCGACGTCAACAATTAGAATTTGAAACCTGATATTTTGTTCCTTAAGTAACTTGGCAACAGTCTTGTACGCTGCATCTGTCAGGTGAATGTCCACAGCCAGACCCGGCCTGTGAGGGGCCTTCCAGAAGTCGAGCTTAGAAAAATTCAAAGAACAGAAAATATTCAACAACACTGCAACGTTCGGAAAGCGACACTAAGAAAACGGTGAAACCCAGAAATATTAGTACGAGGCTTTAGTGATTCAAAGGTAACCGGTCGTCTCTTCAACGTGTCAGTGCGACAACGAACAGTTCGCCAACGTAGGAGGTCGATTCGCCAACGTCTAATGTCAGTTCGCCAACGTCCAAAATAATTTTGATTACGAAAGGCAAATTAGTAGTCAGAAACCTGTATCACAACCATACACAGGAGTTGGGTTTTTTGTTTAGCGCTTGTTTGCCTGTGCTGAACTTTTACATCAGACACAATCAGATTCAGAATCAAATCAAAGTTGTCATGGTTTTTTTTAGTTTCGCAGTAAACTTTAAAGTACAAGGGAACAAATTAGTGCTTAACATTTTTTTTACTTTTTTTTTCTCTTTTATCCACGATATACATTGTTGAAACAGTCGTCTTATGAAGCCCTCGGCACGGGTAGTTTTTGGATATTTTTTGGAAAGATAATAGGCTATAGACCACCTAATAGTGACGCCATAACAAATAGAAATATTTTTAGATTCAATGTAATTGAATATTATTTTATTCGGCCTCCTCAATGATCCCCATTTTAAGTCGTCCATTTGACATTCGCCTTGTTTGTCGATTTGACTCGATTCTTGACCCTTTTTAGATCATGTATTATTTTAAAAATGGCTGTGTCTCACAAGGACTGGGAACTACCGAATTCACAAATTTGATTGGCTGAAATCAATATTGAAAGCGCTCTAGATTTTCCCATCTAGACCGGCATCTAGACCGGTCTAGTGAAAAATTTACAAAGAATATAAAAAATTGGCATATAAGACACAGCCATATAATAACCATCTTATTAACCGAGCTAGGTCGGTCTGTATGGGAGAATCTTGACCTCGGTCGCTGGTACAGACCTCACTGCGTTCGTTCTGTACTGGCGACCTCGGTCAAGATTCTCCCAGACAGACCTCCCGCTCGGTTAATAAGTACTAAATACGACACATGTACATCATTACAACAACTTTCTTTATAACTGACAAAAACTTCCATTCCGTCCTTGCTATCACTACCTTACCTCCAATTCCCGTTTGCCTTCCAAAGATGAGAGAAAGTCAAGTTCATTTGAGTTTCCAGGGATAATGCGAATGACTTTGTCGCTGCAAATGAAATACAACAAATAAAATTATATATCGAGAAACATTTTTTTTTATAGGAAGGAGATTAAGGGTACATCACTGGTTTCAGAAAATAATATTTCATGCTTTCCATAATTTCTTTTATAATTTAAATGGACCTCCCTATGTATTCTAATTGAAATGATCTCGGTTAACATTTTGTATATCAAAAGTTGCTTTTCCACCAATATTTTATGAGCGTTAAGAGAAAGTATCAAGTGAAGTGATAGATCTTCTCGTGTCAATGAACGAAAAAAAGGTAGTCCTACAAAGAACTGTTGATGGTAGAAGTGATTCACATTATGAAAGCTAAAAACGTTTTCGTCAGTTTTCTCACAAAGTTTGCATGTACGCATTTCTACTCCTGGGTTGAGAGAGGTCTGGTGAGAGTAAAGTGTTTGACCCAAGGATACAATCCGAACTCCAGCCTTTAGGACCCAGAGTTCAACGCGTTCACCGGTGAGCCATCATTTAATCACTTCATGTTTTTAAAGCTTGAGAATTTAATTTCTGTCAGTCAAAGGTCATACGCTTGGTTTTTTGAAACTGATCAGTCAGACACAGGTTGCGTTCGCCTCGTGTGATTTGTCAGTTTCGAATGAATAATATTTTTTCTTTTTTTCTTACGAAGTGCTTGGTCATCGTAGATCAAAGAAGCGTTTCCTTTGCACAATTCTTTAAACTAAGTTTTTGTGAAAGGTTTCCGTCTTGGAACATCATTTGCTAAGTCGCGCGGCCAATCAAGTCGAGCCCAAAAAGTTATCATAAGACCTTGCAAGACAAATGTGCTCTCGAGGCGCCAACATCTGGCATTTCTATGAAATAAAAGAATATCTAAACAGTTTTCCACTTAATTGAGGAAGGAAAAAACAGCGGTAATACTAAAAGCAAGGTGCTAAAAAAGCGATAATTCCAGGAAAGGGAAGTAGGCGGGAGATCGTCAAACGTATGGTTAACAGCTAGAAATTAAACGACTTCTTGATAATTGCGAAAACTTTTATTCACCCATCTCAATGCCTTATCGCCTACAACTACTTTAAAATGGTAATTTGACTCTTAATATATTTCCATTTTTAATGTCCACAGAATTTGACGCCCACTCATTTTAACGATCACTTTTTTAAATGATCACACTTTTAAGCGATCACACTAAAAAGCGATCACTCAAGTTCTAACGCTCACGCTTTGAACCAGTACACCTGGTATCCCTCACGCTTATATCACTTAGCTTCGGTTTGTTAACTATCGATGTTCAGTCTACACCTCATTGGAAACGGCAATACGACATTGAGAACAAGTTAAGTTCTGAAAATCTTAAATTCTGATCTTTGAAACATGTTTTAATAAGACATTCAGTGGAAATTTGAGCCTTCCTACGTGATCCCTTCCTCTTTTTTCGATACCAGATAATTCTAAAAGCAGCTTATTTTGGCAAAATAATAATAAAAAACATTAACGTGATATCTTTTGAGAGACGGAAAAACCATTACGGCCTCCCCTTGAAACTTGGATTAAATTTCGAACCAATTACCTTAGGATGTATTGAAACTCGATTAGCAATCATACATGCAAAATCCACCAACGAAGCAACAAAGCCTTTGTTCAAACCAGCTGTTAGTAGATAGTTTATGAACAGGCTGTGTGTTTTATGTGAGCATAAAATTTAAGTAGAGAATAATCTTTTGTGGATCAAGGATGGCCTTAGCTCATTATGAAACCATGTGAAATTGAAAACGTGAAACGAAAACGATAGTAAATTTAAGGCGCCACTTTGTTATGTAGCTGTATTTTCTAACAATGGACGATGGTTATAAATGAAGCTGGTTCTTCCTTAGGGTTTAATTTACAATTCACGCATTGTTCTCCATTTGGTTAAATACTCGCCTAAGCATCCTGCCGTGTCAATGATGATAAGGAAGTAAGGTTCTAAATTTCAGAAATTAATAAATAAGAATTTGTAAGAAAAAAATTTGTTTGATTCTCACGATCAAAATCTTGAATACAACTCTCCAAATTTCTACGTCTAAATTATCTCTCTAGTGAAAAGAGAACAAATAAATTCTTTACGATTTAGATAAGGAGGAAAAAAAAATTCGCCTCGTTAAACAAGCCTTGTCAGAACTTTAGACAAAGCAGAAGTTTTTTTCTGCGATTCATGGATTCGCATTCGATTTTCAGAAGTCAATTCAGAGACAAACTGATTATTTGCTAGCAGGCTCGTATGTAGATTTCGATTTCTAACAGAATAGAGAACCGTCTGCTGTCAATCATGAAGTTTCTCCTTTAAAAACAGTTTTAATTCGTTGGATGTGAATAGATATAACTAGCAATCATAAATATGCCTATTCTAGACACGTGGTTCTCTGTAGGAAAATTAGGGTCACGCTATGAAACGACGAACGATTTGAACACAGTGAATTGTTCTTCAGTGACAGTAATTTCCAACACGGCTCATCTCTTCGATAACGTATCAGTATCACACTAGTGATGCCGCGGAAGAAATTGGTATTTTATTACCTTAAGCCCTAAGAGGAAAAATTGGTTCGTTAACTTCGTCTCTACCCCCATTTGCCTTTCACGTGAAATTTATAAACTGATCATGAATTTTTTCCTGTAGAATTTTAGAGTAAACTTTAAAATATTCTCCGTTTCGGGAAAGGGTGATTCAAATGGCGTGTAAACATTTGAAGTAATCGTTTTCAAAGATGAATTTCAAGCTAATACAAGCAGCACAAATAAGAACACTTTTCGTCCACCAATAGTAATGACGCCCATTTAAGAAAATTCTTCCGCACAAGACCTTTTAGTCCTAGCTACGAGCCCCAAAATAAAAATTGTTGACAGTGTAGACACTAATGAACTGTAACCTGACTTCTGTGGTTTCTCATCCAAACTAAAAACCTATCGTTTTTTGTCCAACTTACCCAGCAAACGAAGCAACAACCACGGATAAGAAAACAGCATAAAGCAAAGTAGATGCCATGTCGATGGGTTCACGAAATTGTGAAACCTTTACGACTAAGCTAATATGTTAAACGAACTATTTTGTAAATATAGATTTTTCTTCATTCCTCTAAGACTGGCAGTATGTGTGTCTGTGAACGACAACCATCCGTGCTGCATAAACATACCCAACGAGTGACCATTTACATTTTGGGGTTATTTTAGATTGAGTTCTGGTACTGGCAGATGTTAACTCACCAGCTGACTAAATTGAATACTCGTCAGACAAAAATTAATATTGTGAAAGCCGTTTGAATAAACATTAACACACGTTCAACCTTTTTGCATTTGCAGCAGGCTGGAAATGACCAAACAGAGTGCTAAGAAATCGTTGCTTTAAAAACGTAACAAAATCCAGCACTTTTACGAAACACCAGTGTAATTTTCGATTACTGCTAAAGTGCACTTTAAGAACATAGTTTAAACAGAATTTAAAAGCATATCCTTTGTCGTACAATGGGAAAATTCTGAGTGTTTATCATTTTCATATTATTTGTCAAAATATAACATGTCTTTGACATGCTAAATCGCTTGATTACCCCCCTAACATGTCTGAGTAAAGTTTGAATCGATGCCAGCGTTCGAATTGCCTTTATCACAAGTCAACAATTGATTTTACACCTGAACAGCAGTAAAGCAAATGACTTTTACGACTTTGATCTGCTTACAATGCTCAGATCTTTTTTATAAATTATTGTTTAGGTGATATTAAACAAGCGGAATGTCTCCGCCGCTATCAAACATCACCGTGGGTTGATTTTCGTGGCTTGATATTTCGTACACTTCAACTTAGAATTGTGACGAGGAGGGAATTGGAGCTCGTAATTAAGGAAGAGCAAAATTGAGGACAAAGTTTCCCTGAAAACCGAATAACAAGATTAAAATTCACTCGAATCCGAAATAATGCATAGTATAATAATCTTACCTCTGTTCAAATATAATTTCCTGTGTATGCGAAAAGAAAAATCATTTAAAAAACCCTCTTCGTTATTCATAGAAAAAGCCAAAACCAAAAATAAAAACCGAGAAAAACGAAACTGTAGAGGGTACCAAAACGGAAAACTGAAAGTCCCAAAAGAATGAAAAAAACTAAAGGATTAATAAAATTGTTCAAATGTTCGATTCCGGCGATCAAAATCAGCTTGGTCTCGATCAATATTTTTGAATCTATTCGCTATTAAGTTTTTTCCTCGATGGAGCTGGACAATTTTTAAGGGTAACCTGTTTTAAAATCACCCTAGGTTCATAAATTAGATTTATAATTTAGAAATATTTTTACACTCTTGCATAAGCCTGTAGGACTTTAGATCCACTCGACAACCCATAATGCACTGCTTCGTGATTAATCGTGAACCCCACAAGCCGGAAAGTTTCACCAATTTTTTCGGTTGCCACTTAATTCAAGGGCGTCTATTATACTAAAAGCCAAGGTGACTTATTTTTAGCGAGCCATCAACACCAAACTAATGAACATCAAACGTAGGCAGCGATTCAGGGAATTACCTCAGCCATGCCATGTTTTCAAATCTCAAAAAGGAATCGAGTTGAAATCTAGAAAAACTGTCAAAAAGAGAAAACCGTTCAGGGCTAAAAACGACACTATTAAACTCCCAGCGAAGTGATTAACAAGAAACTTCTCCCTATAATTTCCATACACTACAGGGGCGTAGCCAGGATTTTTCAAAGGGCGGGGGGGTCACAGAGGCTACTCACCAAATTGTCCTGTCGACCTCCACGCCGTGCATGTTTTACTTAATGTTACAGTTTTGGGATGAGCAGTGAGAGTAAAGTGGGAAGGCCAAGATATAGACCACTTTAATAAATGGCGGCCGGATTAAAATTCTTTTGTTTAAATTTAAATTAGCCCTACTGGCCTCGTTTTCCAGTTCATTATCTCAAGCGAGGTCAGAAGGGCTAATTTAAATTTAAACAAAAGAATATTTGTACGGCAGTAATTTATGAAAGTGGTCTATTGTCATGGCGTTTTCACCACCTGAATACTTTAGGTTGTTTGCTCAAAAGAAGGCCTACTAAGAGGGGGGGTCACGGGCACTCCAGGACCCCCCTGGCTACGCCCTTGCATTATCCAGCAAACGGGTAATGAGAATACTCAAACTTATTAAGCAGAAGTTGTTATCTTGATCTAACGCCAAATTCTCATGACTAATTTACAAGGAAATGTGTGATAGCTATATATAGGGGAGAATTAACAATCGATCTTGGGAATGACAGGGTCAAGCTTAGCAAAATCGTGTGTGGTAAGTCTAGTTGAATCATCTTTTTTAACAAGCTGGTAAGAGTGTTTTTTTTATTTTATTTTATTTATCTTCTAAAGCTCTCCACTCAGTCTCAGTCACTCGAGATAGGATCCCTCAGAGACCGTAGCTTAAAACAACAGTTCCATGTATTTCTTCATCCTTATTACAATGTCTGTATGATTCACGCAAGAAAATTTTTAAATTTCTGTATGTAGAACGGCCAAACGCAATTTTTCGGTATTTTCCTGATACATTTAGGTACCCACATAAACCCTCTGGCCCAAGAACGCATGTAAAAGGGCTCGAGACTTTTCGGTCTGGACTGACAATAAGACGATGCTTGCAGGTGAGAAAAATCCACTTGTAATCAGCCCCACCCCCCCCTCTCCCCACGCCAAAGCCTCTCTCTCTACTGACCCCGTGACGTGGCAAAATAACATCACTGACAAAGAAGGACTTTAAAAAGTCCTGGTAGGTGCTAAAGCAAGCGAGTTTTCTCCTCCCCACTCTCCCGTTACTCGAAAAAATTACGCAGCCCTTTCGTCACGCAGGCTAGGTAGCCAGGCCTATATTTCAGCCGATGCGTTACTAAAGAACTAGCATGCCACAAACACAACTGCTATATTCCGTTTATTTCAGCCATGCAGTGTGCCATAAGTTCATGTTTCAGTATCTAGGGCATTTTTCGCGAAATGTAGCACCTTTATTATCAACTTGATCTGCCGAGTCATGCAAATCCATTTCCCGGTTGAGAAAAAAATAACGGTTACAAATTTTGTAAACGACTGTTGATAGCGCTAGTTTATATTAGCCGATATACAACTCTCTAGCTGATATCGTAAGCATAGACTCAACAAATAGAGATGGCATGGGCTCGAACTTAAACCGGAACCTCGCGATCCACTCTCTAGCGCAGTATTGCGATGTCAAGAACAAGGATCTTATGGCTTCAGTATGGGGAAACCCATGACGAAATCATATGGCAATAATAATTTAATAACAATTTGATAATGATAATAATTTTATACTTATATTGCGCAAATTAACATGTTGATATGATCAAATGCGCATCACAACACTTTTCGGGGGACTTTGGCCGGACTGCATCAGCAGTTTA